CTGGGGAATTCTGGGAGTTGAAGTCCACACATCTTCAAGTGGTCAAGATTGAGGAACACTGTCCTATACCTCCCAGCCAGGAAGACCTCTGCTGCCTGAAAATCATGGGAAGTGACACATTTTGAGGGCGCCAAGTTGGCAACATGTAAGATTGCAACAGCCTGGCCTTTGTTGACTTGCTTCAGTAAAGAATTGCCCCCACCGCAGAATCTTATAGAGGAAAACCAGAGTCCCAATCTCCGTTTTTCAAATTGCTGAATGCATCTGGCTGGCAGTTTGTGATCTAGATGAGTGTTTCTCAGCCTTGGCAACTTTTCAGATGTGTGGACTTCAACTCCCAGAATTCCCCAGCCAGGTTGAGGAACACTCCTCTAGAATACTGAACTGGCTGGACTTTTGGCCTGACCCTGCAAGGCTCTTAAGCTGTAAACCATCCTGGGTGTAAAGACAAGAATGGGTGTGTGTGGCTTCAAGTCACTCTTGACTCCTGATCTACGTTCGCAAGTCCCTGCTGCTTCCTTGGCAGCATTTTCAGAAGTGGCTTGCCCCTGCCTCCTCCTTCCCAGGGCCGAGAGAACGACTGGCTCAAAATCACCCATCTGGCTTCATGCTTAATTAAGGCAGGACTAGAACTCACCGTCTCCCGGTTTCTAGCCTGGTGCTTTTACCCACTACACCAAAGTGGCTCTCTAAAGACAAGGATGGTGTGATGTAAATCATACGTTGAACCTGAGTAAGTGTGTCTTTCTCCATGCAAAGCATGCTTGTTCCAAAACACCCTCTCTGCGTCATGAACACACACTGTTCCCTCCTAAGGAATGTTCAATCTCCTCTAATTCCCAAGGATGTTTTCAACATCCATTAGCCCTTGCCCTGAGTGCCCCTTCCAGCCTAACTGCACAAACCAGAAAGCTACAGAGGTCACCCAGTCCTTGCCAGAGAAATCCAGCATCTAGGCAGGAAATCACAGGTGCTGAGGGCACCTGAAAGGGGAAATGTAGCAGCATTAACGATAGCAAAAAATCATCTTTGCAGCCATGACACTCCAACTAGCAAAAGGGAGTTCTAACTAGCCCAGCAAATAAGGGTAAGGAAATCCATTTATGGCTTGCTAGCTAGGAAGGAGAGGGCAGGCTTCCAAAAATTAAAGGCAGAAAGAGCCTTAGACTGGTTCTCTCTTGGGAATCCCTCTCAATCCAGGGACGTTTTTTGCCCTGCTGTGAACTTTTCAGAGGAGCCCTAAAGGAATCACTTCCCGAAGAAAGGTTAGGCTGTAATCCCATTTTGCTGCACCAGGAGCTGAGAGACCGCAAAGAGCTGAGGCTGCGCTCTGCTCATGATAACAAAGGAGTGAGTACTGGTACAGCCGTATCTACATGTAGGGATGACAGAAAACTGTGGTGCCAGTAGGGTGTTTTTGCTTTGTGAAAACTTTGCTTTGCCATGATGCTTCCAAGAGCTGTATTTGCCGTGTTTGGGAATTTTTAATGAGGGGCTTGAAGGGGAGGTGGGATGGGCAGAATGGCAATTCCAACAGAAAATTCACCTGCCCCGAATGAACATGGCTTTCCTGACGAATTGATCCCGTGAGCGTGTCTGGATTGCAGCAATATCGTTTTGAGTCTTTGGTGGGAACGAAAACCTCCTGGTTCCCTGCCTCCCTCTTCCCTCTGGATCCAGATAGGTGTGTTTTAAAGCATCTCTTTCGTATCAGAAGAAATTGGTATCGTGAAACTGATGTCATTGGAGAAATCAATACAGGCAGATAATAAATTATCAGCATGCTCATTTTAAATAGCTGTTGCAAACATGTATATTGTAGGCACATACATTATGTTGTTTTTTCCTCTCTTAGGTAGTTATAGCAGTTTACAGTATTTAGAGAGATGGAATAACAGTATCTAGTGTGCGATTGATGCAATATAACCACCTTTCCTAACCTGGTGCGTTCCAGTTGAACTGGATTTCCACTCCCATTAACTCCAGCCAGCATGGCCTTTGAGAATTATGGGGGTTGGAATCCCTTTTATCTAAATGACACCAAGCTGGGGAAGGCTGCTATAGCATGTCCATTATGGGGCTGTAAGCTTTAATTGAATAAATAGTGTATGGGTCTGAGATAGCAAGAAACAAGCAACTGAATAAAGTGTGTAATTCATTAAACATATTAAATATGCAATGCCTATTAATTATAAACCAACCACGCTGAATGGGCTTAAAAAAAAACCCCAAAAGGGATCTAGAGCACTAGGACAAAAGGATTTCTGTACAGTTTGGTCACATCAGTACTGTACCTCAGAAAAGGGTATCTGATATTGCTGATTTAATAAATAAATAGCATTTATTTCTCGCTTCCAAATGGTTTAGAAACCACACTATTAGGTTAAAAATCTGTTCTGACCAACTGTGAAAAGAAAATCATAAAACTGCCAGTTGCTGTTGATTCATATAAAGTTAATCCAAGTCAGGAATCTAATTTCTCAATTTGAGAGAATGTTTGGTAAAGAAGGATTTTTTTCTTTTACTGTCTCCTTCATCCTACTAATCTGTTTTGACAAGAACAAAGAAGCCAAAAGTGGTCCTTTAGTTTAGCACTGTGCAGAAAGAAAACCAATCATGGTGATTTTCTACACAGCCTTGGAGGTTCAAGAACGAGAGGACACAACTTTGCTTCCGTATCAGATGGAAATGGGTGGGGGGAAATGTCTTAGCTGACAAATTTGAGTGGAAAGTAATCTGCGAAGCAGGCCGTATCTGGAAGCATATTTAGACCACAGATTTAAATCAATGTTGTAGTCCTCTTTTCTCAAGAAAGGTTCATTATCTAAAAAGAAACCATTAAACCCATTTTCTGAATTGTCTTTTAATATAGTTTCAAGGACCCTTTCGGACCACCTCCCTTAGTTGGACACTATGCTCTTTTAGGTGATGGGAATTGTACTCAAAGACATGAGAACAGAACAAAACTTTTTTAGGGATGAAACAGCAGCAAAAGTGATATAAACCCCAATGTAACTTTGTAGTTGATCAGCCTCCAGTACTTTATACTATATTTTGCTTACATGCCAGTAGCTCGCCCATACTGAGACATGCAGAGGTTCTGGTTCTGCTAATAGCAAATGATTGCTTATAACAGGTAGGAATCATGAGATACCAGAAGGGTGGGGAAAAAAGGAAGGAGCTCCAAATAAGAGTTCATGTTTTGCATGCAATGGATACTGAAGGAGGGTTGTGAAAAACTCATCCAAATACCTGATTCTAGTCAGTCAGAATACTGAGCAAAATGGATCAGTGATCTCACTTGGTATGAGACTGTTTCTCAAGCAGATGTTCAAGGTAGGCAGCTGTATGCACCAGCAGAGAACTGAAAGCAAACCCAGAAGGATGAGGAAAAAAATACCCCAACAACAGATGGTAAGAATGGGAAACTCAGTAGGTATAACTGAAGGCAGAGGCAATAACTAAGAAAAAGAGCTGAAATTGAGATTGGTCCTTGGTCACAATAAATGCGTGATTAGGTTTTAAGGCACCATGCTGCTCTTGCTGCAGATTAAGACTGCTGTTTGTTCCAGAATCTGAACACCGAGGATGTTTGAAAGGTTAAGCAATTATGCTTTCTTCAGAAGCAACCTGTCATCTCAGGATGACGTGCTGTTTAGCTGAGTCACAGGCTGCTGAAAGGGGTTCACAAAGCATTTTTTTTTTTTTAAAGGCGATTGTATTACTCCACCACCACCAATCCAGATCTTATTGGTATTACTTCAAAACATGACATCATTCATATTGGAATTCCAAGAATTTTTATTTGGCACTGGCAGCCCTGCCTTTGAGATCATTACAAAGAAGCCTGCTGCTTTAAACCATACAAGCTACTAAATCTATGGAACTCCTGTTTTTTTCTGAGTATTGACTTCTCCAACCTGGCATCCCCTGGATGTGTTGGGTTAAAATCCCAAACCAGCATCCACAAGGCTCAAAGCAGGGGAGATTTGTTTAATTCTTGGATGCTGCACCTAACCAATGTGATGCCTATGAAAAGTGGGAAGACTGTCTCTGGCATTGTAATCTGTATTACTTTATAATCTGTATAATGTAGTCTGTGTTACATCTCCTGTATTATTTCTATCATGCTCCCTTTTTATCCTAATCAGGCATCAACAAGAACTGCACAGATTTCAGTAAAGTATCTTAAATAATAATCTGAGTAAATACAGAATCTTAGAAATGGCAAAAGGAATTTCCCAGCCTCATTTATTAAAATGAAAGATTTCTCAGGTTTCAGACCACCTGGGCTGAGTGGCCATTTATGAAATAAGTTGTGAGCTGACTTGTCCTTTCTCTCTCTCAACTATATCTACTGTCCTTTCCATTCCTTTCCCAGCCTCTCTCACACTGGTTTCAGACCAGCCTTTCCATGGGAAAGGTTACACAATTCTCACTTGCAGAGGAACACTGAACGTGGTCACTGACTGATGGGGAAGACAATGAAAATGTTCGGACAGGGCTCTTTCGCAGTCCCAAGATCTTCTGCATACAACTTGTCTATTCAAGATTGCTGTATGTGGAAAGGGGCCTTTGAGAAACCACTTTCTGGGGGCTCTCTTTCTATACACCTGTCAAGTAAACAATCCATTAGTGCTACTTCAATTGGCAGTCTGGTTTCAACACCGTTTAACTATTAGGTTAAAATCTGCAGTTGCATTTGCACGTGGAAAGCTTGTTTAGTTTTAACTTGTGCTGTGCCGGAAGAATCCAGCCCGTTTTGTTAGTTCATGATTCACTACATTGTGCAAACCCAGAAAATGGATTGCTTCAGTATCCAAGTTAAGCAGGCGATGTGAGTGTAGCCACAGTACCTCTCTAATCTCAGAAAGAATTCTTTAGCATAAGAGATGTTACTGATCCTTTCAACCTGAGCTGCTGGGACCTTCTGCTTCTGCAATCAGATGCTCTAGCACTGAAATTTGTTTTTTTCCTGGAGGTGGAACCACATAATTTGGGAGGTTCCAGTGGGGCAAAAGTGTTTTTAGCACTCCTATCCGCCTCTATTTACTTATTTGCTTTGCATATTGTATATGCACATTGGTAGGAAATGTCTTTAAGGAATCAAGCATTGCAATAAATAAAATCACATTTGCTAAATATATTCAAAAATAGTGAGATTCATATTTTTAAAAAACAATCTTCATCTTCTGTATGGAATAGAAACATAACTTGGGTGCTTTGTTCTGAATTTATTCCTATGCCTCAAGGTCCCCATCTTGTAAATACTTAATTTTTCACTTCAGTTCTCCCGTGAGAAAAGCTGGTGCTTATTTGTGGAGTTTAGTCCCGTAGCTCTTGGTGAAGCAGAAGTCACTACTGTGTGTGGAAAAATATGAAGATCTGCCCTCTTGTTGCTTCTGATACTACTGTTGCTATTTTTTCCCTCTTGACTCCCACTCTTAAGACCGAAATGGAAGATGTGAGCTCCAAAAGGGTCAGTGACTTCTTACAGAAATGCGTCAAACTTGAGGACAACGAGGGGGACCCTCAGCCCAAGGAGATCTTGGAAGTTCAAAGTCTCCCTATACTCACTCCATCCTACCCTCAGACAGTGCAAGGTAATGGGAATTTCCTCCGGAAACCATTGCACCTAGAGAGCTGCTTGACAAGTGCAGAATTCATGGCATCTTCAAATTTAAACCAGAATAAAAATAATGTTCTTAGGCATGTGATAGGGAGAACTTAAAAATAGATGGAATATATTACACCTAGTTGTTAGGCTAGGTTAAATATATGAAAGGTAGCTGCTCCAGGTAAAAAAAATGTGCATAACTGGGAGGTTCTTGATCTTTTTCAAAAGTGCTGGTTTTTTATGACCTTGTGGGTGATGGGAAGTGGGAACCATCACCTGTCTGAAGTGGGCTAATCTAGATGTTTACTGTTTGCTAGAATTAGACTGAAATGCTGAGCAGGGAGTGGGACTTCCCAACAGACAGCTCACTGTATTACTAAAGGCATTGTGTAGGAATTTCATATTTTCTTTAAGCGGTAATGCAGTAAAGCAGTAACAACCTGGTAATTTGTAAAGAATACAGAGTGATTGTACCATAAAAAATGGGAACACTCCTAAAATAAGAGTTGTTGTGAGGTCCAAATAGCCTTATAACAACACTTTCCTGAAGGTGATGTCAGTCTTTGATGAAGTGTTATAAGGCACAATGGTGCCTCATCCCAGCTCTCCCTTTCCAATCCTTTTATATGAGACCAATTAATGTGTTGTAATTAACAACAAAACCTGGCATTACTGTTTTCTCTCCTGTTCTATTTTGACAGAGGAAATCTCAATGGTTTTCAATACTTGCGCAATGCCAGCCAATCTGGGCCCATGTGCCAGGAGGCGGCGTGAGAAAGGCAACGGCCACGATGGGACAAGCGCATCTCTCTATGTTGACCGCCGCAAATCCAAAGTGTGGAACTATTACACCAAGCTGGGGGATGCCTATGTTGAATGCAATGTCTGCAAGAAGCAACTGTCCTTCCACAACAGCACCACAACCATGAGAGAACATCTGGTGCGGAAACACAGCATTCGTGACACTTTACTATCACAACTGAAGGATGACCAGGTTTCAGACCCAGACTACGTGGCTCAGGAGAACGCAATAAAAAGGGCTCGCCAGCTGACACCTGAAAACAACAATCAGTACCATACTGTGGCCTGCTCAGAACCCAGGACTGATGTGATTCTGGAACTAGTGCTAGAAATGATTTTTCGGGACCTGCATCCCCTCTCAGTAGTGAAGGACAAAGGTTTTGGCCTTCTAATTGGCTACTTAGAACCCAGTTTTATTCTCCCATCCCCTATGCAGCTCTCTAGCATGCTGTGGCACCGATATAATGTTGTCAAGCAACATCTAGAACATTACCTGCAAACAGCTCAGTCTATTGTGATCTGTGCTGAATTCTGGCTCTCTCACCCCAACCAGACATACCTGACAATCGTGACTAATTTTATTGATGGAGAGTGGCGGCGGGCTAGGTGCATCCTAGAGACCCAGCAGGTGCATGAGAACAAAGCAGAGAGCAATTTGGGAGACAGACTATATGCGGTCCTAACAGACTTTGGGTTGTCCAACAAATCTGTCTTTTGCATGATGCATGACAGCCTACAGGATTTGGAGGCCAATTCATCACACCTTAAATGCATTTATGGCTGGACTAGCCTATGCTGCGCGGCCCACCTACTACACCTTTGTGTCAAGGCAGGCCTTGAGGTGGAGCAGGTACAAGAAGCTCTGACTGCTGCTCGAAGCATTGTCTGCTACTTCCAGCAGGATGCTAAGGCTACTTGCTCACTGAACAGCAAATTGGAAGCCATCAACAAGACGAAACTGAAATTGGTAATGGACACTGGGGCTCGATGGATAACTACCATTGAGATGTGTGAGTGCCTGCTAGACCTCAAGTGGGCCATCATGTCTGTTTTGGAGGAACATCCCAAGGGAAACTCAGTGGTCCAGAATTTGGCTGATCACCAGTGGAAACTCCTGCAGGACCTAGTGCCAGTTATGAGGACACTTAAGATAGCCACTTCTTTCTTGCGAGAAGAGCAGAACTTCTCTATCTCCTCCTTGATGCCTTGCATCCATGGTATTGTCACTGCCATTGGACAGCAGTCAGAAGAAGCAAGCGGCATCATTAAAACTGTGGTAAACAACATAAGAGGAGAGCTAACCCAGCGTTGGGGTATTTTGGATGAAAATAAATTGCTGGAGAGCCCAGCAGTGATTGCATCATTTTTAGACCCACGATTCAAGGAAATGAGATTCCTAAGCCCAAGTCTACGGAGCGAATTGCACAAAAAAATTAAAACCATGTTGTCCCAGTTCTTCAATCATCAGTCCCCATTGTCAGCCCAGTTCTGGGTACCAAACTCTGATTACAAAGCAGAGGTTAGTGAAGCAGGCAGCCAGCTTTCTGCTCATAAGGAAAGAGGCCCAAGTGGGCAATCCCAAAGTATGTATGACATCCTTTTGGGAAAAGACCCTACTGAAAGCATGCCTGAGATCCATCAACAGCTAGAGAACTACATCGTGGAACCTCTTTGCAAGCGTAGCACTAACCCCTTGGATTGGTGGAAGAGCAATGAACACCGCTTCCCCTCTGTTGCCCGATTAGCCCGGCAATATCTGGCTATACCGGCAACAGTTGTACCACCAGATCAGGCCTTTGCTGCCAATGAAAGTGCTCTAGAGCACCGAAGAGGTGTACTTGCCCCTGAAAATCTGGACCAAATTCTTTTCTTGCACCAAAATTTTGATTTTTTAGAATCTATGCGAAATGGGAATGAGAATCTGAGCAAGTCTGTACACAGCCAGTACTGAAAAATCAGGCATGAAAAGAGCAGAAAAATCAGTGTATCACGATACAGCCAATATACTGGGAAAGGAGGTAGGAAGATCATCAATCTTAAAAGGATAACATGACTTTCAGGTCACTTTAGTCAAATTGGCAGGCAGTGTTTGAACTTGCCCTTTAATTTAAAAGTCAGTTGGCCTACTGCCTAAGCTTGCCCGTGTTTTTTCCTACAGTGCAGATTGTCCCATAAATAAGATTATTATTTTTTTTTTTAAAGATGAGACATACGTCAAACAGATTGTAGAGCAAGGACATTCCTGTTGCTTTTCTAAAAAGATTCAGGTGTATTCTTGGAAGGCATATGGTTGTCTGGATACATGCCTCCATCTATTTCAGAAAGAGGACTAATAAGGACAAGAAGCTGAAATGGTTTCAGATGTCTTCCTTAAATGACTATGTTATAATGCAGGATACTTCTAAGGAGGGAACAGAAATATTTTTGCATTGTATTTGTTTGTTTGGAATCCTGCAGCAGAAAGCAGGCTTTGTTCTGATGAGCCTTGCAAGTGGCAAGGTAATAGCCAGAATGCTATTAGGCCAGTGTTGTCCAAACTTGGCCACTTTAAGATGAGTGGACTTCAACTCCCAGA